TTCACCTGCACATCTGCTAATGTGGTATGCTGTATCTGCTGTTCCCGTTGTGGCCTCCTCTACATCGGGGAAACCAAGCAGAGGCTTGGGGACCGATTTGCGGAACACCTACGCTCGGTTCGCATTAAACAACTGCATCTCCCAGTCGCGAACCATTTCAACTCCCCCTTCCACTCCTCAGATGACATGTCCATCCTGGGCCTCCTGCAGTGCCACAACGATGGTTGCAGGAACAGCATCTCATATTTCGCTTGGGAACCCTGCAGCCCAATGGTATCAATGTGGACTTCACAAGCTTCAAAATCTCCCCTCCCCCTACTGCATCCCAAAACAAGCCCAGCTTGTCTCCTTCTCCCGAACCTGTCCTTCCTCCCACCTATCCCCTCCTTCTACCTCAAGCCCCACCCCCATCTCCTACCTACTAGCCTCATCCCGCCCCCTTGACCTGTCCGTCCTCTCTGGACTGACCTAACCCCTCCCTAACTCCCCATCTACACTCACCTTTACTGGCTCCATCCCTGCCTCTTTGACCTGTCTGTCTCCTCTCCACCTATCTTCTCCTCTATCCATCTTCTATCCGCCTCCCCCTGTCTCCCTATTTATTTCAGAACCCCCTCCCCCTCCCCCATTTATGAAGAAGAGTCTCGGCCCGAAACGTTAGCCTTCCTGCTCCTCTGATGCTGCTTGGCCTGCTGTGTTCATCCAGCTCTACACCTTGTTATCTTATATCCGAAATACTGCATTTTTGAATTGAGTTTTGACGGGACATGTGTAGGGCCATGCCATAATATACAGTCAAAGTGCCTAATGGTTGCATTCATCATAATGGGTATCCACAGGAGAGGGGAATTCATTTCTTAAATGATGATAATTCTTACCTAATGAGATTAATGTTGAGGAATGTGTTATATAAGGCAGGTTGTCATCACAGAGATTGTACTATAGTGTCTAACTATGAAGATAAAATTGGAGAATCATTTAAAGTTAATAGAAATTATAGGTACAGTACCACAGGGACCAGTGTAGGAGCCTCAATTATTTACAATCAATATCAATGACTTGGATGAAGGGACCAAACATATGGTTGTTAAACTGGTTGATAACACAAAAGAAGTCAGGAAGCAAGTTGTGAAAAGGACATAAGGAGTCCAAGACAAAGGGATATAAATGGGTTAAGTGAGTGGACAAAAACTGGTAGATGAATTATGATGTGGGAGTATGTGAACTTTTCTATTTTGGCTGGAAGAATAGAAAAGCGAGGTATTATTTAAATGGAGAGAGATTACAGGATGCTGAGTTACAGAGGGATCTGGGTGTCAGGTGTATGAATCACATAACATTAGTGTGCAGATATAGCAAGTGATTAAGAAGGTAAACAAAATGTCATTTATTGAAAGAGGAGTGGAATATGAAAGTGGGAAAGTTTGGCTGCAGTTATCAGGGTGTTGCTCAGACCACATTCGGAATACTTGGTATAATTTTGGTACTGTTACCTTATAAAGGATATAATTGCATTGGAAGTAGTTCAGAGAAAGTTCATTTTGACTGATTTCTGGGATAAAGGGGTTATTTTATCAGGAAAGTTGGGACAAGTTGAGTCGCTATCCATTGGAGTTTAGAAATATGAGAGATGATCTTATCGAAACAGAAGATCGTGAGGACATTTGACAGGGTGGATGCTGAAAAGATCTTAGGGAGAAACTAGAACTAGGGGACGCAGTTTAAAAATAATGAGTCTTCCATTTAAGATGGAGAGGAGGAGAAGTTTTTGTCTTACAGGGTCACTAGTGTTACAGTTGTCATTTCCAGAGAGGAGGTTGGGTCATTAAGTATTTTTAAGGCTCTTCATTGAAAAGAAAATTCCAAGGTCTGGAGAGTGGACAATGATGATGCCACAATCAGATTAGTCTTAATCTTATAAAATGACAGAGCAGGCTTGAGGGGCTGAATGGCCTTCTGTTGATTCTATTTCAGATGTTCTGAAAACTTAACATTAAACTTAATTTTTTATATATTGTTCTGCAGTGACAGCAGAGTGACTTGATTCTCTGAAGAGTGTGCAATAGAGGATAGTGAATGGGTATCAGCGTTATATACAGCACCCACTGGAAAGCTGCATCATTAACCATGAAGCAAACCTTGACCAGTTTGCGACTTGAGTGAACTCAGGAATGTATTGCTGCCTGCAATTCGGAACTGACACCTTGAATGAAGAATTGCTGTAGTGAGAATGAAGCAAGATCAAAAATGTAGTCAAAAAGAGTGTGTTTATGAAGTTGTAACACATAGGCCATGGCAACTTATTTGCAGGATTATTGATGCTGCAGCCAGTAAGTTTTAGAGTTTCTAATTATTTTGTTTTTAAATTGAAGAACCCTGACAATGACTTTTGGACTTGGCAAAAATCTGTTCTGATGGTGATGCAGTGTGTCATGGGGGCTTGTGTTATTTTAGATAGTGAGTTTATTATTTTAGGCTTCCTCTGTTCAATACTGTGGCCATCAAAAGATGCTCAATACCTCCTGTCAGCCATGGTATGAAACAGCTCCCATCCATGGGGAGATATGTCAGTGATACAAACAGCAAATATTGATCATTTTTATTTATTTCATAACAGCGAATGAATTCTACCTCCCAAAGCAGCACTTTTACACTCTGCTGTTTTTCATGCTGTGCAGGTTGACATTCTACTCATGACACAGCCACCCTCAGGAAGGTGGGCGTATTTTGACACTGAGATCACCAGTAACAGTGGCAGAATCCTGTATACCATTCCAGATGGAAAGAAGCTCAGTGTTGGTGTTTATCCGGTGAAGATGGTTGTAAGGTATATATATATTGCATGTACTCTTTTATGAGTTGACCTTCACAGTTGACCTTTTGTGGTTTGAAAAGAACTTGAGTTATGTTCTGGCTGCTAAGAAATTATCTTGTTTGGCACTGTGTTAATGTGAGTCATTAAAATCTAGTTCACAGGTTCAAAGCAATCAAACACACCAAACAGACCTCACCTCAAGGGAGTTGAAATACAAAAGTGTGAAGGTGATGTATCAGATATTCAGATCCCACCTGGAGTATTGGATTCATTTTGGGCTTTGCACCTCAGCAATAAGATATTGGCTTTTCATCAAAATTCACCATTCTTAACATTGGGACTTAAAGAGTTGAAGTAGGTAGAAAGGTTGCATGAATTTAATTTGCATTCCACAGAGTTCAGAAGGTTTATCATTGGCATAATTGTGGAGTTTAAAAGGGATTTGACAGAGTAGGCATCGAGAAACCAATTCCTCTAATTGGTAAGTCCAGAACTGAGAATCAAGGTCTTAAAATTATCAACATTTCCAATAGCTGGGGTAGTCAGGAGTACTTTTCACAGAACAATAATCAAATGCATTCTCCCAAAATTCTATGGGTGCTGGGGAAATTGAAATCCAGAAGCCTGAAATTGATAGATTTTATTGAGGAATATAAAGATACAGTGGGTATATGCAGTTGTTGTAAAGATCAGTCAAAATCTAATATGGTGATGGTACCATATGGAGATGTTGAAAGATCTACCACTGCTCAACGTGGCAAACATATTATTTGTTACCTATATGTTGATGTGATTCAATAACACATATGAATTTTTATTAGTTAAATGTTAAAGTCATAGTAATTTGATCTTCATAGGCCTTTCTCTTTATAGATGAGGAACTTAGAATGGAAATAGATCTGTGTAGAATATTAACCTCAGCACAGACTATTTGGGCTGAATGGCCTGATTCTGTGCTGTATAATGTGCAGCCATATGCAGAATGCTGTGAAATGTAAATTGAGTTTACCTTTATACGTTTGCCAAACTCTTTAAAAACTTCATGTTCTGTTGCCAATCACACACAGAAATATAATTGGAAATATTGAAAATTAAATTTGAACCAATTCAACAGCAATTGAAGGTCTCTTGAACTCATTTTGTGATGCTTGCAATGTCATTTTCAGATCAGTTCTCTTCCAACTCCAGATGGCACTTGCGCCTACTCTGCGCAGCAGAATATTATTTTAAAGTGCATGAAAATATTTAAGGAGTTTCTGTTGGAGCAGGAAATGAGCCATTTGAAGATATCTCAAAGGCAATATAATGTAACTGGAATCAGTTTTGAAATCGTCCAGACATCTCAAGATATAATAAAAATGAATTGTGATATTCGTAAAACGCCTTTGAAATATCCTGTCTGCTTTCTTGTCCTTGATTAAGAAGAGGAAGGGACAGCAGGGACTGTTGTTTCTGTCACTAGCAGGCCCTGCTACAATTAACTTGTGTGAACACCAACATGCACAGAATCAGGAGTGGGTGCACTTTCATCCCTGATTGGTCTATTGAACCTTGCACACATAGGTTCACATATTAATGACAATTGAGTTATGATCCCTGTGAAGACGAATAACATAAAAGAATTGAACTTCCCACATGCCTCACTGTGAAAAAGAAACACATTGGACAAGATTCCATGTTTTTAAAATCACTTTTACTTTAAAAATCTAATCACAATCAACATAAACATGATTCAACAGGCTTTGGACATAAATCAAATATACATTTTCAACAGGTGACATAAATGACACATAGATTAACAGCCAGGTTTTTGTTTAATTCATTTGTGGGATGTGGGCATCACTGGCTGGTCAGCATTTCTTGCTCATCCCCCTAGTTGCCCTTGAGAAGGCGGTGGTGAGCTGCCTTCTTGAACCGCTGCAGACCACCTGCTGTTGATTGACCCATAATGCCGTTAGGGAGGGAATTCCAGGATTTTGACCCAGTGGCAGTGAAGGACCGGCAATATACTTACAAGTCAGGATGGTGAGTGGCTTGGAGGGGATCTTGCAGGTGATAGTGTTCCCATACATTTGCTGCCCTTGTCCTTCTAGATGGAAGTGGTCATGGGTTTGGAAGGTGCTGCCTGAGGATCTTTGGTGAATTTCTATAGTGTATCTTGTAGATAGTACACACTGCTGCTACTGAGCGTCGGTGGGAGGGAGTGGATGCTTGTGGATGTAATGCCAAACAAGCAGACCAGAGTGTCCTGGATGATGTCAGCTTCTTGTGTGTACTCAACAGAACCATATTTTATTACATTTTAAAAAGCTACTACAACACAGATAGATCTCATGAATTTACTGACAGTTCCCTTAGTACACATGAGACCATGTGCAGCTTTGAAAATTTTTCACAACTTTGTCTTCCTCAGGCAGAGTTCAACTGATTTTCTTCCAGCATATGTGACCCTTAGGTCACCTCCAACTTTGGCTTTACTGTATTCCAGTTCCAGGAATACAGCGCTCAGCAGAAGGACACATTCAGTTCACATCGGTGCTGATGCATGGAATCTCCAGAGGCCCCTTCATCTCACCCCTCTTAAACGCTCTGCTGCACTGTAGGGCCAACTCTGGTTAAACAAAAATTCAAACACTAGCAGTATTTTTATGTCACCTTTGTTGCTTCTAAACCTAGTCTTCAGTTTCCATTGTTTCTGAGTGCTCTCAATCACAGCTCCTAAGCTTGTCTGTATTTTTCTGTTGGCTATTACTGAAAATGTATTTGTTTTTCCTGCACAGCTTTTGTTTTCTTGTCAAGTGAAGACTACAGCCTGATTTCTCAGAAGTCAGATATCACTGGCAGGAATTCAGGGTTACAGCCACAACCCCAATCCATGACAACTCCTGTTTTCCCAGAAACCTGAAGTTTGATTTTGCTTTTCAGTTAGGGATTGTGAGAAGGAAGTTCACAATATGTTATTATAGTTTGCAAACTTACTTCTAAGGTAGATGTAAATAGATGTTTTGGTTTTCAGTTCTGTGAAGTTGACTTTCTCATAATGGTTAGAACTTCATTCTTTGGAAGAGAGAGTTTAAAAGAGTCTTCCCAAGTAAGCCTGTGACTTCAATTAAATGACTAGCAACTCCCTGAGGTATTTACTAAGCTGACTTTTTGCAATACAATTAATGAAATTACACTGGAAGATCCCAATCATAGGTATCATTATGTATTTTGTGTAAAACTGGTGATAAAATAGTCATGTCTATCCCTTGATTTTTTATTGTAAACAAAGGTAGCTCCCATTTAATACATTGTCTTTACGATAAGGAGAACTGCACTTCTATAGTGGCTTTAGTTCTCAAGTAAGGAAGACATTTAAATTCAAGTTCATACTTTATTGCTTGGTTGCATTTCCACAACTGTTAAAAGTTCATTTGAAGTAGAAGTTTGCCAGTTTCAGACTTATTTTTGATAAGGTTTTCTGATGTAAACTGTAGTTTTCTTTGGGCTGACAATGTCAATAATCGTAAAGTTAGCAACTACTGTTATTGTTATTAAAGGAAATATGGTAATGTTTTAGTGTATTTCGACAAGGTTTTGTTTTTGTCATTTTTACGTTTCAACAGTTGGAAGAATTAGGTTAGAAAAATACCATATAAGTCTTGAAAACATGTATATAGAACGTTGATCAATTGAGCCACATTTGAACATTCCTCTATGAGGGACTTTTTCATCTGAATCCCAGGGGAACTAATCTATGCTGAGGAATACTGATTTACAGTGATTAATCAGTGTAATCTGATTAATGAAATTCCATTATTATGCACATCCAGATTTGATTGAACTTGATTGTACTCAAGTTTTAGAAAGTGGTAATGTCTAATCCTTGATTTTTAATTCTAACTAGAGGTGACCAGACTTACGCAGAGAGCTACCTTACAGTATTGCCTAAGGGGATGGAATGTGTTGTCTTCAGCATTGATGGTTCTTTTGCTGCTAGTGTCTCTATCATGGGCAGTGACCCGAAGGTCAGAGCTGGAGCTGTGGATGTGGTCAGGTACAATGTGCACAAGCTTTCACATTTGTTGCATTTGTGCATGTCATGTTTTGAGACAATAAGCTATCACAAATTGTGTAAAGAATGCTGGATTCTTTCTAACAAGCTACAATTCCTGCCATCATAATGGTTATCACACTATTATGTTTGTGTTTACCATTGTGTATTGCAATCTCAATAATTCTGATTCAAATTTTCAATGTTTGCTATTCTAATGCACTTCCAGGCTTTTGGCACTTGGTTCTATGGCACCGATTAACGAGCTCTTTGTGTGAATGTTATGGTATTTACCCAGACCTCCTGAGACTTTGTTGTACTTGCCACTTCTGCCAATGTGTGGTACTGGGTAAGGGTTCATTGAGGTAGTTCTCTGCCATCAATTCTCCTTTGTCTTTGCCACAGCCAGGGCCTTTACAGTGATTCATGGCGCTGTGGAGTATCTACAGAAAAGGCATTGTTCTCAGATAACAAGATGATTCATTTCATGATAACCATAAGAGCAACTGTATTTGGTCAGGCATCATTATTAGGATTTTGAGGAGCTGGTACAGACCCATCTGCTCCCTCTGAAAGCTAGAGTAGAACCCACGGACTGTTTGTGATATCAGTAGACTAGCTGGAGTGAATGTAACAGGAGTATTACCCTCTTCAGAACTATTACCTTATGTGACAAACAAAACCATATGAATATACAGATTATATATAAAAATCAACTTACCATTAGTAATGACACTTTGTTCACCAACATCTTCTCAAGGGTGATGATTGATAGACAATAAAGGCTAGCCTTGTCAGCGATACTCATATATCAAGAAGATTGAGTAAAGGCAATTTAAAGTTGAATGGACACATGTTTTAAATACAGAAATCACTGATTTACAGGATGGCCATAAGGAGCATCAACAATGAAGACAAAGTGAGTCCATGCCAGAAATTTGTTCTTCAGATCTCTGTGTGTTGACTTTTGATTAGCATATTTGAAAATGCAGCTGCTAATCCTACTGCTTCAGGCTAGAGTTCTGTATTCCCTTGTTCTCCTTATATAGTTTCATGGTGGTAAGTCCTGTCTCCTATGATCTAGAATTACACTTCTTTTCTGATATTTTACTCTTGTATGTTAAGAGTGACAGTCACTCTAACATCAGGGACCTGCATAATGGATCAATTTTTGACCTACACATTTATTGAACTTACTCATTTACAAAGGCTACAGTGATGAAAATACCTGTTTACAACAATGTAAGAGAACAAAATGTTAAAAGCAAACTGATAGAAACAAACACCAAATTTAATACCATTGCCTCAAAGCTTCAATTATTCTTTCTATAATAATTTTCCTGAAATTATTCAATGGGGTAACTTTGGGTATTAAAACACTAAGATCCCTTACTTTGATAGTCATTCAAAATAAAGCATTGGGTTAGACTTTAAACTTCCTGCTGGTGTAAACCTCAGCTTGTAAATCAACTGCAGGTGTAGAAACTGCACAGGATTCAAATTTCTCTTCATTAGAGACAGTGCAATGTTATTCTCACACAGTCATCCTCATGGAACACTTTGATGCTGCCGATGTAGGGAATGGGAAAACCACAGGCAGTTTCTGGAACATACGCCCAAACTCATCTAAATCAGTAACAGCTCTTACATTGCTGTCCCATTTGTAATGCTGTCATTTTTCTCGGTGCAAGAATGGGGCTTTCAATGAAAGTTTCTTCTTTTTAAAGACACTGGCAGGAGCTGGGCTACCTCATCATTTACATTACTGGACGTCCAGACATGCAGAAGCAACGGGTGGTTTCCTGGCTGGGTCAGCATAACTTTCCCCAGGGAATGATCTTCTTCTCTGAAGGCCTGGTCCATGATCCCCTGCGACAAAAAACAATCTTTCTACGCAATCTTGTGCAAGAGGTAATCTCTGATCAGGCGTTATGTATGAATACCCTTAGGAAAACAATTGTAGAACAGTAAAGGACACAAGACTTTATGATAAAGCTGAATAAGCTCCCAATTTCAGGCTGATATGGATAATTTTTTAAAGTATAAAATAACATGTGGACAAAGGAAATGGATTAACACTTTTCATTTGTGCTTAAAACCTGCTGAGATAGCTGGAGTGAAAGTCTCTGCTGTCTGTGAAAGGGTTCTAAGTAAGAGATGGGGCCTGAGGTGAAATGAGTTTGAGTAATATCTGCTGACTTCCTAGGGAGCACAAAGCTGCTTGTAATTTGATGCTAAATGAGACTTGTAACTGAGACTAATTGATAGTTTCACTTCATGATGCTGTTGTGTAATTGTTGGTTTGTTACATATTTGATGTGTTTGATTTACCTCACAGTATTTCAGAGATGATACTTGTACTAAGTCTACAACAGGTTTATTTACAGTACTGTTACTATATAAATCTTATGTATTCAAATACTTGTTACACAAAACACTCTTTACCTTACTGAATGCCCTGACCTACCTATTACCTGAGAAAAGCTAAGTCCCTGTGAGTTTTATTGTATATGCTGTTTCTAGTCTAGTTCAAAATAACTGCTTATAACAGCACATCCTAAAATCCAAGGCTGGAATTTATCGACTTGGGAGGAGTCCCACCACTGGAATTGGAAAAAGGGCAGTGAATCTACCTCAGCGGGCACTGGGACCTGGTGCTACCTTTTGGTGGCAGTTGCCAAGTTTAAGAAGCTCCCACTGAGACTGCCATCCTTATTAAGAATGACATTCAGCCCTATCAGAAGACCAGTCCCATCGCTACCATTACTACCTGGAGGATGAAGGCACACGGTTGGTAGCCTAGGCCCGACAGGATGGGTAGCAAAGTTGAGAGCAGGTGACACTCTCATTATGGGACTAGTAAGTGTCCGAAAAAGAGCTCCCACCCATATTGGTTTCATTGCTCTCACTCTCAAATGGTGGGGAGCCCCTAGCAGCTGGTAAAATGCCAGCAAAGATGAGAAGAAATCCTTACATGGGCACTTAAATGGCTCAATTGGGCTTCTGGTGGGCAAACCATGTGCCATCTTTCCCATCATTGGCAAAATGGGATGGCAGTGGGAAGTCAATGGGCATTGCACCTATTGCTTTCCCATGCCAATATGACAGCTTTCTTAACTCCCAATATGTCCCTAAAAGAGCTGGTAAATTCTAGTTCTAAAATTCCAGAAAGAAAAATAGGTGTTTGTAAGTTTTAATGTTTATGTCTATCTACTTTTGAGGAGCTTTCCTGCTCCTATGATGCTGCCTGATCTGCTGTGTTCCTTCAGCTCCATACTGTCTTGAGCTTCTTTGGTTCCTAGTCTGCAGTTGATTTTCAATAATGCACAGCTTTGCATTTTTGTTCTTTCTTCAGTCCCATATTAAAATCTCTGCTGCGTATGGCTCAATGAAAGACATTTCGGTTTACAATGTCCTAGGATTGCCAGCGTCTCAAATCTACATTGTTGGACGCCCATCAAAAAAATATCAGAACCAATGTCAGGTAAATGAGTCTCTTTATTCCATGATAGAGAATAGAATTAAAATGAGGAACTTTAAAAAATCATCTATAACAAAAAAAACTGTCAATTACCCCTCAGAGATATCACATTGATTGCAATAACCAGCTATTCCTTGCACCTTTCCCCAATTTCTTTTACATTCATATTCAGTTCTTGTTTTTGTTTTTATTTATGTTCTTTCTTCCTTCTGCATGATGCCTTCCTTTGCTTGATGCTCAGTGGTTGTACCTATCCTTTACCTTTCCAGTCACCTGTAACTTTGTCCCTCTGTTCAGTGAAAAGAGAACAGCATGTGGGAAATTGCTGTACTTCTAACCTGCTCTATGATTTTACTAGCCTTTTGAAAGGGACTGACTGGGGAGATAAACAATCATGATGGTGAGGCAGTTGCAGGTCTGAAAGTTAGAGAATTGGATGGATGTAAGCCAGCAGTGCTGTGGAAAGCAATGGGTGGGATCATTCTTTTCAATCAAAGTGGTCTTCAGAAACTGCAAAAAAAATGTATTTTTTTCCTCAATATCTTACTTTAAGAAATTTCTATTTCAACAATAACTTTTCCCTAATGGATCATTTCAGGATGGTCGTATGCTCAATTATATTGTCTGATGCAATATTTAGGTTAAAATTATTTTAAAATGCAAATTAGACATGGGCATAAAATACAGTAGCAAAGTTAATCATATCAGAGAGCAAAGGCAGTTAATGTCAAAACACGTTTTTTTACTTCTCACAAACATTTCATGCTGCATTTATTTCAATTACAACAGGGAATCTAGCTAAATTACAATAAAAAAAACTGCCAAAATTTACTCTTAAATACATGGTCAGTTACGTTTTATCAAATTGACAATAACTTTGCCTCAGCATCAAACTAACAGCTGCACCATCAATTTATTATGGATAAATAATGTAAAGTTATCGCTGCTATTTTTATATGCCAAAAATTATTGTGTCATTTGCTAATTGGTTAAGATCATTCCTTTCATGCTTAACAACACAATATTCATACCTCAGACATAATGTTGAACTGTAAATAATGACAGATGAATACCCAGCCTTTTGGGGGAACTTCTTCTGTTTGTTATTTTAGGAAGGAGCTTTCAAAAATAAAATTAATTATTTTAACTGTTAACTCTTTCATTATGGGAGCAAAAGCATTAAGCATTTGTCCAGTCACATTCACCCAAGATAATGTCAAGCCCATGATCTTAATACAGTAGCTGGATTTTCCTTTCTTAATAGTAGTGAATGCTGGGAGATTCACTGCTATTGAAGGATGCAATGAAGAAACTTTGGTGCATCACATCGGGCTCCACAGAAATCCACACTGAAGGCCCTGTCATTCCGGTTCCTATGGTGGCACAGAGCTTCAATATGTACGCTTCGTTGAGAGCCCAGTCTCCCATTAAAGATTTTCCTTTAATTACACAACTGGGGAGAAGTGAAAACTCTTTCTAATTGACAGCTTGAAAATGGCATAATACTTTATTTTTCGTGTGATCTCTTTTGTCAATGGTTCAATATATACACACAATAGAAAATGGTGTTAACATATTATTTCTGATATTGATATTGATATTGATACTTTAAATGTCTGGTTGACTGGAACCCTTATGGGTTTGTAGCAACAAGTTATTTTTACTGAAAGTTATGGGTGTTTGCAAGCAGATCCACATATGCCATTATTACTATTGGGTTCATTGTTTCTGTAAAGGTTGTATAATGTGTGAGTGGGCATGGAAGTGCCAGGAGTTGGAATGGAAGATTTGAGTGGCCATTGGGAGTGGATGAGAGAAATGAGTTGGCATAGAGGCATATGTATGATCTTTTGAACTGATTGAATTCTTTGAAGGAGTAATGGAGAGGATTGATGAAGGCAGAGTGGCGGACATGATCTGTGTGGACTTCACTAATGCATTTGACAAGATTCTGCAAGAAAGACTGGTTAGCAAGATTAGATTGCATGGAATATGGGGACAACAAGCCATTTGGATACAGAACTGGCTCAAAAGTAGGAGACAGAGGGTGATGGTGGAGAGTTACTTTTCAAACTGGGAGGTCTGTGACCAGTGGTGTGCCACAAGGATTACTGCTGGGTCCCTGCTTTTTGTAGTGGACAGTGAAGAAGGTTGCCTCGGAATTCAACGGGATCTTGATCAAACAGGCCAATGGGCCGAGGAGTGGCAAATGGAGTTTAATTTAAATAAATTTGAGGTATTGTGTTTTAGAAAGGCAAGTCATGGTAGGACTTGTACACTGAATGGTAAGGTTCTGGGGAGTGTTGTTGAATAAAGACACCTTGGAGTGCAGGTTCATAGTTCCTTGAAAATGGAGTCACAGATAGATAGGATAGTGAAGAAGGCATTTAGTATGGTTGCCTTAATTGGTCAGTGCATTGACTATAGGAGTTGGGAAGTCATGATGTGGCTGTACAGGACATTGGCTAGGCCACTTTTGGAATACTGAGTTCACTTGTGGTCTCCCTGCAACAGGTAGAATGTTGTGAAACTTGAAAAGGTTCAGAAAAGATTTACAAGGATGTTGTCAGGTTTGGAGGGTTTGAGCTATAGGAAGAGGTTGAATAGGCTTGGGGCTTTTTTCCCTGGAACAATCGGAGGTTGAGGGTTGACCTTATAGAGATTTATAAAATCATGAGGGGCATAAGTAGGGTGAATGGCCAAGGTGTTTTTCCCAGTGTAGGCCAGTCCAGAACTAGAGGGCATAGGTTTAAGGTGAGAGGGGTAAGATTTAAAAAGGGACCTAAGGGGCAACATCTTCACACAGAGGGTGGTGTGTGTATGGAATGAGCTGCCAGAGGAAGTGGTAGAGGCTGATACAATACAACATTTCAAAGGCATCTGGAAGGGTATATAGATAGGAAAGGTTTGGAGGGATATGGGCCAACTGCTGGTGATTGGAACTACATTAATTTAGGATATCTGGTTGGCATGGACAAGTTGGAATGAAGTGTCTTTTTCCATTCTATACAGTTCTATGACTCCACGACTCAGAAGGCTTCTGAGTGCAAATAATAATTCATGCCTTGCTTGAGAAGCTATGGACCATGAGTTGGGATAAAAGTGGGCCCAACTCCATGAAAATGGCAGAGGTACAGTTTCTAGGATGTGCCTAAACTTGCAATGCAACTGAACACATAGGCAGATAGATAGCCCTGGTATATGCTATAAATAGCTTATACCACATTTCTTTCCTGATCATGAGCCACATCTTGTGGTGGAAACTCAGTATTGCACCAGTCTTTATATTTTTAGCCAATAAAATCCTTTGGATGAAGCATTGTTTTGCATCTTTTTATCCTCTCTTATCTTCAGCGCTTTAAACTTACTTGGAAGAGAGCTTCAATTTGTTCTGTGCTTTTTAATTATTATTGTTATTTTAGTCAGAAGACTGTAGTGATAACAACAAAAACTGAACCATCATAGAAAAAGGTGCAAAAAGCTGAAAGACTTCCTTCAAACAATTGTCTTGAGAGGCCAGTACAGACCTCAGGATTATGTTGCTGCCTGCATTTTAGGACTCAAGAAGTAACTCTTTTGTTATAAGTTCATAACTTTTAAAATCAAAAATGATTAAACTATAAGGCAGATTGCGTAGAGTGGGCTTGTATTCCCTTGAATATAGAAGATTAAAGAGTGATCTAGTTGAGATATTTCAGATGATCCAAGGATTTGAGAGTGTACGCCCTGATTACGTCTGTGTTGGGGAGGCCCACCCACATTATTCAATTCCCGCCACCAATTGAAAGCCCTAATGGGCAATTAATGCCCACTTAAGGACCTCATCGCAGGCCTTCCAGTATTAACCCTACAGTGGACTGGGGTGCTCAACACATAGAGCACGTCCAGAAGACCAGTCGTGGCTTGCTTTCAGGCTCCTGGGAGATATGGGGTACCTTGTTTAAAGGAATGCAATGTTGGCATTGGGAAGGAGGTGACACACTGAATATCCAGCCTTTTCTGCTGACCCCACTCTATGACTGCCTCCCACCATCACACACCTCTGGCCTAGGATCCAGCGAAAGTCCTGATCCCATAGAAATGCTTCCTGCTGTCAAGTGCCTGAGGAAAAGACAAAGACATCGACCTTCCCCTGTAAAGGTGATGTGAGGCCCTTGCCTCCTCTCCAGTTCTACAAGGTTCCACCCTAAATTTCCTGGCAGCGGGAATAGAGAATAAAGGGACGTAGTCTTTAGAATAGAGTTTGTCCTATCAGGAGCAAAATCAGGAAACACTTTCTCACACAAAATTGAAGTTCTCTCTGTTGAAAGGCTGTTGATGCTGGGGCTATTAAAGCTTTTGAGCCATAGATTCTTAATGTTTCATAAGTGAGGATATCAAAGAATAGGGAGCGAAGTTGGAAACATGGAGATGAGATGGAACAAAGGTGGGAACATGGAACAAAGGTGGAAACATGGAGGTGAGATGGAACAAAGGTGGGAACATGGAGATGAGAAATGGACCAACCATAGTCAAATTGCATGGCAGAAAGTGCTGAAATAACTGAACAGCCTAATTCTGTTCATAATGTCCCTAGAAGTTTGTTAAAACACAAAAAAATCAGAATGAGAATTTGGGCACTGAATGGTTCCCTGATGGTTAGCTTCTGTTTGCTTGATAGTCAATGTCATTTCTTCCCCTTACAGTTTCTGTCTGAAGGTTATGCTGCTCACCTGGCCCAGCTGGAGTTCAGTCACCGCTCCCGCCCGAAGAAGAGCAACTCGCGAATGATTTTACGGAAGGGGAGCTTCGGCCTGTCTGCTCAACCCGACTTCCTTCGGAAAAGAAACCACTTGCGCAGGACTATGTCAGTGCAGCAGCCGGACCCACCGTCCTGCAACCCTAAGCCGGAGCGAGCCCAGAGCCAACCAGAATCGTATAAGGAGGAGAGACACCCCCACAGCATAGCCTGGGCCCGGAGCGGAGGCTCCAAATCAGAGCCAGGCGTTTGAGCAGTGTACCATGGGCAACAGAGAGTTCCAGGCTATGTCCAGGTTCTGAAGGTGCACTCAGAAAAGCTGCTTGTGCATTATGGTGCCCATTCTTGTTCCAAAAGATATTGGGCTAGAATTTCATCTTGTGTCCAATAAATGGCAGAAGTGGGTTGGGTAGCACTTCTACCCGTGCAAATGACCAGGCGTTGACCACTGCAAATCTTCATTTAACTAAGGGAGCCAAGGATTTGGAAGGCTGCCAGTGTAGGGGGAGAAGCTTTGCCCTCCAGGAGGGTATATTGGGGAATTCACAGATGGAAATCGTGAGGAGCATTTTTGTAGTTTCCCAATATGCGCTCCCAATGGGTGTGTTCCCCCACCGTGAGCATGCATTCATAACCTCAGCTGAATATCTTTACCAGTGATCGTGGCCTTTAGATAGTTACTGAGCCAGACCTCAGTCACACCTATAGCACAGGTGAGTTACTAGTCCTTCCAGCATGTCAAAGACGACTGTAGTTCTCTGTTGCCAATGAGATACTCCAAAAGATCATTTATACTTGTTCTATGTCTAAGCTTGATACATAGAATAACACATTGTAATATTGGCAGAACCTCTGGACAAGAACTGAATATTTATCACTTCTCTCAAAAGCACTCTGGGTCTTTGCTTTCCAGAACTGTAACAGAAACCTCGAAGACGGATGCCCAATTTGAAATGTGAGTGTTGGCAGGACAGAGAATATCTGCCTTTTCTTTAATATTTGTTGCTAAGACTTGGATTGATTAAGATCAAGTGGACTTCACAGCACTTTGTTTCACTCACTCGTTTAAATGGAAAAGCTTCTCCAAGCTTCAAGATCAAAGTGACGAACAAAAACGGTTCAGGCCATTTTGGCATGGCATAAGGTCAGGCTGTCTGAACAGTCATGTGTAACCCAGTCTCCCATAACCTGTGGTTATACAGAGCATGGCCCCTGTCACTATTTGTACAATGGGAAGGACTCAGCTACCCAACCAGATGAAGGAGACGAAGGAAAATACTCTTGTTGAATTAGATTTGCTTTGATTAACTTGTTACAGACATGATTAAACTAAATCACTTTCTTTAATCCTGCTAATTTGTAATCATTTAGTCAGAGCTTCCACTTTGCAATCAAGTTTGATTTTAAAAAAAAATTCTTTTCTTCAGCCTGTTTCCCTAAAAACTAAATCCTTGCTGTTGTGAAGTGTTAACATTTCTTATGAGGCATCCTTAATAAAGGAAAAGGCCCACAGTCAAGATGTGAATTCCTCAGTTCTCTGTTGCCTGATCTAAGGGTGCCTGATTTTTTTTTAACTCAGTTTTATAATTTCCAAAATTGACAAGTTTTTTGTTCCCTTTCAGTACTTTTTCTTTGCAAGGAAAGCATTCATTATTTTACAAACAAAATACCTGAACAAGTTATTCACCAGAACTTGCAGAGCCAAGGTGGCATCTAGTTGGATAATTTTTTTTAAAAAGTTAAATGGCTAATTCAAAGTGACATAAATAGTGCAGGGCTGGGGTTCTCGTTAATGTTGGAACTATTAAAAATCAGATGGAAGGGTTTGGGCCTTTTGTTGTTGGATATAGTCATTATGTAGCCCTTGTGTGGCACAAGTATTACTAGCCACTTGTTTGTCCAAACCTGAATGTCGCTCTTGTCTAAGGTGGCATTATGCATGATTTGTGAACAGAGCTGAACAATAGAATCATCAGCAAATACTCTCATTTCGGACCCAGTAGCAAAATTGAGGTCCTTGTTGGAGAGGTAGAAGTTGACTCGGCACTGAAAGCTGTCCTGAGGAACCCCTGCAGCTGTTGTGGGGCTGTTGTGAAAGGTCTTGACAATTATGATCACCTTCCTGTGTGTTGGAAATAACCATTAGAAGGGCAACCCTTGTGCCCTATTGTTATACCCAGGCAAACGCTGCCTTGAAATTGAAGCCCAATTCCTCAAAGCTACCTTTTGCATGACACCTTTGCATCCATTTCTGAATGAAGGCTGTGATAAGGTGTAGAGCTGAAAGGTGCTGGTGGGGCATTCATTGAGTATTGATGAGTAGGTCCTGATTGACTTATTTCATCACTTTTTTTGAGGTTTGATAGCCGTTGTAATTAGTTTGTTTAGAATTAGTCAACTGGAATTTCTAGTGGTGGTCTTACATGCTGTAACTTTGCTAAACCTAGAGAAATTATGTACATAGCTTTTGTTGCCATTCCTATGGTCTTATTATATAACACTTTTCACTGTATTTGTAACAGATACATGTGACAATCAATCAATTAATCAATCAATTACAACCCCAATAGAGTTCTACTCCAGCATTTTTTGCCATTAAGATCTATCTAGACAATTTTCAATAACACCAGGTAGTTGCCAATGGTAGCAGCTATTCAAGCAGTTGGACTAAGGGAGGAACATTTGGTGTCACATTGTCAGTACTACAAACAGGATGTTATTAGGCCACGTAGCCTTCAATATGTCCAATTCATTCAACAAGTTCATAATGTCAGGCAAAGTGAGCATAAGTAGCAAGACAGTGGCATCTATCATAGTGGAGACATGGGAAAAAGCTGTCCTTGTGGCATTTTTAGCTGAAGAGACTGGCAAAGAATTTTGTCTTGATCCTTGAGTTTAAATTGTAAGGCTCCATCATTGTTAAAAATTGAGATGTTCACACAGCCTGCTCTTCCAGTTAGTTGTCTATGCTCTGTTCTGCTCTGCTGGTGGGTTGGGAAGCTTCATTCACAGCTTTTAAATTTGAAATCACGTATTCTTTCAATGACCTTCTACTTCTGGTGTTTAGCACATGTGTGCTGTAGTATCAATGCTTGATGCTGCTGCCACCACACTCTTCTGCTATCCTTGGTGGACCAGAGTTGGTTTCCTAGCCTGATGCTGATGGAGAAGCGTAGGTTGTGAGGTTGCAGATTTTGTTTGTACAAAACTTCTTACTGCTGATATCCCACAATGCCTCACGGATGCCCCATCCTTAGACTGCCAGTTCTGAATAATGGAGGGAATCCTCAGGTGATAAGACTTGATCAGCCTTAAAGGCTATGCAGTGAGAATTCCTACCAATGCTGGATAAATGTATCCATGACCAGGTGTGTTGGTGAAAAAGGTCAGAAATGAATCTGACCACAAGAATTGTATTTCATTTGATTTTAATCAAAATAGTTCAATATTGATGCCAACATATGTCTTCTGCCTTCATCGATCACTCATGCTATGCTTTCCCCTTTCCCACCATAACCTTTCTCATTCTCACTGCATCAGTTTTGAGGTTGAAGGGTTGAATGGTCTTGTTGACCATTATCGAATCTGGTGGAACCACCTCAAGCAAAAGTGCCTTTTTCCTTCTTTCCCGTCAAATCATCTTACTTCATCAAAATTATCATCAAAGATGATCCTGGATCCCTCAAAAGAAAACTTTTTTCCTCAATCTCCTTTTATTTTGTTCTTTCTGGCTTTGCCTCCAAATCTGAGGTACCCATTTTGATATGATTGAGGACATGCAGTCTGTTGCCTCTGGCTCTTTCTACTTCTGGTGCACCAGCCTTGACACTTTTAGTCACATATCATACTGCAGCTTCTTCCCCAGTTTCTGCTGTGCTCATTTGTTGCTAAGTATGCTCTTCCTACTTCAGTCAATATACAATAATAAAAAAAACCTTGTATTTCCTGGTGTTTGTTGATTTAGATCCCTTTGCACAGCAGTCCTTCTTAACCCTGGTCTTCCCCACTTCCCTAAAAGCCCATCCTTTACCCCTTTATTCTCTCCAGATTTACAAAATCCCTTTCTCTTCTCAAGGATCTTGAATGCGTAAGTATTACTGATCTACACTTGCATTGCCTACCAATTCTGGTTTCAAATACTTTAATTAGATGTCTACTCCATCCACAACATCAAATCTATGTCCAGAATCATCAATTGCATAGGATATGTATGTAGGATGAACTTTCTCCCCTTGATCTGTACCTGGCCGATTTGAAATGGTTGATTGCTGCTTGAGACTGACATATTCCCACCTATCCCAGCAATGTCAGTATATTTCTGGTGGTGACTTTACTTCCCACACCTGTGTTAATATCTTTGATCAGCTAAGCTTCCATCCTTGATCCCTCTTTTCCATGATGGCCTTTAGTGATCTTGTCCATAAACACCAAATCAGCTTCCAGTATATGCTGCTGACGCCCAGCTCCACTTCATTTCCAGGAGCAGTGCTATTCTATGTATTTTTTTTTGTTTGGGTGTAGCTGTGCTGGAACATTTCCCGACTTAAATGGCAAGATTGAAACTATTCCAATCATCTTCCATCAAAAAGTCACATTCTTAAGACACACCTTCCCAGCTTCATCAGTTTTCAGAGTGAGCATTCAGACGAAGATTCAGATCCTAATATCCCAACCATCAAAACGACCCTTCACTGCTACTACTGCAACATCATCTAAATCCAGCTGAACCTAATCTCCACTGTCACTGAAATGATTATGGCCTCAAAACTTTCATACTCTTAACACCCTTAAAAACATTATTTTAAAAAGGACACCAGCATCAAGATTGCTTCTAAAACTGCCCTCTTGCACATTAGTTCCAGCTATTTTGGTCTTGCTGAAAGTGCATTGTAAAGTAGCCAGACAATCCAAAACTATTGATTTCTACTTTCCATACACGATGATGTTTACAAATTCTCCCACCTGCATCCTGTCCCACTCATTTTGCTTATTTTCAATAATATCCATTGCTCCATTGTCAATGCATTGCATTCAAACTTCCATTCTGGCACCTTTCATGGTCCTTTATCTACATTCCTGCAGACCAATATCCCAAATTATGCTGCTGTATCTTCCAAAATTAGCCTCTTGCATATTCTGCCTTCCTTTGTCCTTCGCTGGACCTCACCATATATGCCTTGGTCCCAACCTTAGTACTGCTGCCTCACAGTGCCAGGCAACCGGGTTTGATTCCAGCCTCGGGCGACTGTCTGT